CTCTTAAATGAATTCTAATAAATAACTTGTCATTTCTAATAAATAATATGCTACTCATAGGGCAGGCTCCTCCCTGAAACCACCATCTCCACTTTCCCCATCCCCTGCAGACACCCTTGACCAGGGGTAGTTAATGTTCTGGGGGGGGGGGCATTGCAATGAGGACAATGGTGCAAAGGGGGCAACGTCATGTCACACACATCATTGGAGCCAGGATCTTCCTTTAGAGGGATTGGTCATTTGAACTTCTTCTTTAAACTGGGTTAAGCCCAAGGCTATGCAAAAACCTATCCGACCCATCCAATGGATTTGTTTGCAATCCTTGAAAAAGTCTAGACCAGTGTTTTTCAAACTTGGCAACTTTAAGATATGTGAACTTCAACATGCTGGCTGGGGAATTCTGGGAGTTGAAGTCCACACGTCTTAAAGTTGCCAAGTTTGAGAAACACTGGTCTAGATAGTGTTTGCCAGAAATGCCAACATCGCGTTTTGGAATGCCCGTGTCTTTGCCCCAATATCAGAGCCACCCACACAATAAATATGAAACATAATTTCTGCATATCTGATTTCTCAATCCATCATACCATGATATGGCCTTGAACTATACTAAACTGCCTGTTCCCTGTACATGTACCCAACCATCAATTTGCTCTGATGAGATGCCAGGTGGGGAACATCTATTCACATTTAACAGTATTGTTTCCCCTATTCAATTAGGAAGTTTAATTATAAGTCACAAGTACAAAACCTGGCAGGTTAAAGAGAAATAAGTATTATAGAAAAACCTTAATGAACTACAGTCCTAAATTTGCTCTGCCTGCTGCTCCCCACTTCCATTGTATTATCACACTTTTTCAAAGCCCCAATATAACCCTCCTGCCTCCCAGACTTTCCTCAGCCATTTTATTATTAAGCTGTTTGTTGTTTCCTCCTAATTGTCCCTAACTGGTCAACTATTTATAAAATTCAAGCAGAAACAAGTTCAGTGTAAATGCTGCTTCATTTCAGAAATAACAGTCTAACCACTGTTCCCACTTTTTAATTAAGATTAATAATGAATTAAAATAAAGTGCATGCAACAGATAATATGCCTGCAGTATGTATGTGAGGTGGAAAATCCAAGTTTGGGATAACATAAAAGTGTCAGGATTCCTTTTCTTTTGGAAGCTGCTGCCCCGCCCCCCAGGGGACAAAGGTGTGTGCTAGGGTATGTTGCCAAAATTGAATAGGCAATTTCAGGACACTGAATGTCCAACTTGACAGGTGGGCATTGCCTGCAGTGGCAAAGAGGGAAATTGTACTTATGGTCTTTTGTAAACAGACTTGCTTTATCAGCTCTGTTCTAGGAAACAAAAGAGAACATCAAAATGATCTGCTGGTAAAGGACTGCTGAGCAATAAATGAAAACAGCAGATGGGGCCCATCCAGAATCCCATCTGGAATAATTTAGTATAGATGCTTATCACTGCTTTCTCTATCTTGGTGGCCTCCAAATGGATTGGACCTCAACTCCCATCATTCCCAACTAGTGCAATGCGTTATGATATGGGAAGAGGCCAGACATGTTGGAAGGCACTAGCTCGGGAAAGCTGACTTGGAAATCCAAATATTGTGATGAACATGCTGTAAATGGCCCCTGCTATAAGAGGGGCTGAAACTTCTCCAATTCTTCTCATCACCCATCCACCCAAAACAAAACCAGTTACTTGCCTAACGCTGACAGAATGAAACAGTAATCTCAGATGGGATTTTATGGCTCTGATTCTATCTTTAGTGGCTGAATTCCTTTGGGAGCCTGTGGGGTCTAATGAACAGCATGGAGATTTTTGGTCTGGGAGTGCAACATCTCTCCATTTACTAGGTGACCTTGGTGAAGGAACTCCTTTCTTCTTTGTGGTTTCTGAGTGATTCCAATGATGGCTCTGTGCCTATGCAGAAGAGACTCCAGGAACATGTTGGAGTTCTTGCCAGGGAATTGTAACTGTGCCCTCTCCCAGATATTGGAGGAATAACATCCCACGCTGTTCCCTTCCAACTGTCATGATAGCTTATGAAACATGATCCATGCAGTCATATTTTCTCTTTTTAAAGCATGAAGGATTTTCTTTTCTAGTATTTACTTTTTCCTCTCTTACCCTGTATATCCTGTGCCAATCTTCCCTAAGAGAGTTCTGCTATTCCATAACTCCCAGTTAGCATGGCCACAAGCAATTAGTGGAGTTACAGTCCTGAAAATCTGGACCTCAATAGCTGTGAAGTTTTTAACATGGTATTGGGAAAAGGGGTAAGGGACAAGGTGTCAATGCAATGATGAATTGTATCCTGGAAATTCTGAATTTACCAAGTCTGAGACATTACAAGCAGCTCATTTTACTATAGTAGGTAGGGTCACCCAGACTCATCATCATGACATGATGATGTGTGTTTGCTCTCTCTTACCTGGCTATCAACATCAAGAAAAGAGTGGAAAATATTATTCCACGTGGCCAAAATTTAATGCTGTATTTTAGACTGGACTCTTTTTTCCTTCATATCTCAAAGACATCCTTTTATTTGTTTCTACTTACCTTTTCCCCCTATTTTCTTTTTCTTTTTACTTGTATCTCTTGAAGCACATAAAAATTATTTAAAACTGAAGGGCACCTGGTTAGCCTGTGTTATTTGTATTTTCATGTAGAATTTATTTCTCCAGGCCTATCATTTAATAGCTTTTAAAAGAGGAGAAACATTTCAATGACACATGAACATTGAGGCTAACGCAGCTGCCTGGTAGAAGGCTCAGTGATCGAAGTGCTTTCAGTGCCCTCTCAGCATTTTGAATGGATCCATCTCCTTGCCAGGGCCCAGGCTTTGAGCAGGCTGGATTTCAGGGAGCAAACTCTGTGACACCTTCCTTATTAAATTACTTAATTACTTAAATAATTAAATGTAGAGGCTGTCCAACTCCTGACAACCCTGGGCAGCTTACACTTTTAAAAAGAACCATAAAATAGTGAAAAAGAATAAGAGAAAACATACATAGTGTCCCAAAGAAGCAACTGATGGGGCTTACCACCCATCCTATCCCAAGACTTGGGAGAACAGCCAGGTTTTCAAGGACTTTGGCATATAGTCAGGATGGGAGCCGTATGGATCTCTGAGGGATGTTATTCCACAGGGCAAATACCACAACAGAGAAACTTATTTTGCTACAATGCACAGGGTCACCCCAGACTCATAATTCTGGCCTGATGATGTGCATTTATTCTCTCTCATGAATTGGCACCTTAGGTAGTTAAATTCAATATAGTAATGAAACGGCCCAAATTAGTACATGCCAGAAGTAACACTAACCATTTCCCAGCTCAAAATGTCACAGGGACAGCTAAACCATAATTCAAGAGAATAAGGAGGAAAACAAATGGGGCCTTCAAAGCAAAGGCCAGGACTCTTAACAGGCAATTTTTTTCCCCAGAGGGCTAAAAGACCCTCTCGTTTGTATTCTTCAATGCACTTGCTTTGCCAACAGACAAAGCGAGAAGGGTCTGTGTTGCTGATTTTAAAGTTAGGCAGGCTGGAATGGGAGCAAAGAGCTCTACAGAGTTCCAAACTATTTAAGGTAAAGGGTTTTAAAGGGTAAAACCAACAGCTTGCATACTCTCAGTGCTACAAGTACTGACTGTCTGGTTCCCATCAAGATTAAGGCAGTGACATTCTGTGCTAACTGAAGACTCTGAACTACCTTTAAAGGCAACCCTATGTAACACCAATTATGGTGGCCTGGTCTGGAGATTATTCTAAATGAGAGTAGATCAAACCTTGCTGGACACAACTGGTTACAACTGACATACAATTATGAGCTGGTGAAAAATATTATTGTTCATCTACACTATGAAGCAGCATTGAGTCTTGTTACTACTAAATCCAGGAGTACTCAAAAACTGTGCACTTGGTCTTTCAGGTCCTCCCTCATCTAAGACCAGATGTAATCTAAATTGGTCCCTAACTTTCTCCAGAATATTTCCATCTTTTCTCAAGTAAATCTCAGCTTCTTCACCGTAACCATCTTAAAACTACTTCTAGACAATTCTACATTCTCCCTCAGTTCAGAAAATTATCTACATATTGATGTTTCTTTTTAAACCTTTGAATTACTTTCCCAGTGGTTTCACACAGATGTTAGAAGTTTGCAGAGCAAGGTTGCACTACAGTGGTCATGAGATGGAAAAGAAATCTTGGATCATTACTTTCTATGATTGCTCATCTTGGAAGGACCAGAATGATTACAACACTTTGACTATCTATTTGGCCCCAGTCAGATAGAGGACAGCAAAAATATATCATGACTGATGGTACTGAATAGTTGTAAGGTCCAGGAGAACTAATATAGAATTTCCCTCTCCCCAATCTTAGATAATACGCCAGCTCCTGGGGCAATCAGAGTTTTTTTTCATACCTGAAAACAAATTGGAATGGCTCTAAATAAAAATAATTAATGCAACCTGTAATTTAGAAGCTTTTTGCTCACACAACTACCCAGAGAATAAAATAACAAAACATTCTTTTTCTGATGAGATACTGAGATAGTGAGAGCCAGATGATTCCAGATTTGGCAGAGCATTTCTCTGCAGAAGTTTTGTCCCATAACAGGAATCCAGTCAACAAAATATTGGCTCTTGTAGGCCCATGCTTATACTGCATAACGTTCAATAAATTGGAACATCACAAGCAGGATTTTTTTTTTAAGATCTAGAGCAGTGTTTCTCAACCTCAGCCGCTTTAAGATGTGTGGGCTCCAACTCTCAGAATTCTCCGCTTTAAGATGTGTGGGCTCCAACTCTCAGAATTCTCCGCTTTAAGATGTGTGGGCTCCAACTCTCAGAATTCTCCGCTTTAAGATGTGTGGGCTCCAACTCCCAGAATTCCCCAGCAAGCATGCGGGCTGGAGAATTCTGAGAGTTGGAGCCCACACATCTTAAAGCGGCTGAGGTTGAGAAACACTGCTCTAGATTATCTCAGAAGGAGGGAGACAATTCCCATTTCCAACCTTTTCAAACAGTTAGGTTCCAAAGGCTCTGTTTCTAAGGACAGGAATGAAAGGACAAAGTTGATAAATGGTCTTCGGCCTTCTTTTCCATTCACCCAAAGCCTTTACCTATTTAAGCTTTCTCTTGATTTTGTTGTTAAGTATGCCTGCTTGGCCAAACCAGTGTTTTTCAGATCAAAATGGAACCTGCTTCTTCAAACAGGCTGAAACCCACTTTGACATGTCCCTCACACATTGTTCTTGGAGTTATTTCTGTAGAGAGTCTGAGAAATGGCTTTGAGGGAAATATGGCAAAGCCATTACAAAAACAAAAAGGACAGAAGCATTTCTTGACTCCTGGGAAAATAGGTAGTATTAGGAAGAGAATTAGACTGGCTCCTCCCTGATTCAGTGAGATATACAGTGGAGGAAAAACACAGACTAGCAATATTCTGTTAATATAGCCTATCTCAATAAAGTATAGTTCTAGTCTTCTTATGGAGTCTGTTTCCTGATCTCAACAACTCTGAAGGGCTGACAATTTCAGATATACATATAGTAGTCTCCTTTGAACGAGGTGAGAAGCTACTTACACAATTAGCACTTCCTTAAGTAGCTCTTGAAAAGTAAATTGCAGCCATAGAAGTCCAGTGAGGATTAGGCATCCAGAAGGCAGGACAGGGAAGGTTAAACTTTGTCCCCTGCTATAGTCTTTACCTGAATTATGGAGGCTGCACTATTTTCATTATATTGGAATAAAACTTCTTTTCTCATCTAAATAGCAGTGATAGGTAAAAGGGGTGATTAAATAGGTTATTTAAATAGGAAATCCTATGTGAACTAGGATTCCATTCTAGATCAAGCCCACAACACTTCCTATTTACTTGTATAAATAATGTATTGTTAGCTGTGTGAATGCCATCTTGGCATTGGTAAAATGATTAACTAAACGATCCCCATGCAAGCAGCAAAACCGATACTAAGGAAAGGGAAAGAGCTAACTAACCTGAAACATACATTCCTTGATTTATCATCTGTCCCATTATACTGACTTGCCCTTCTTCCCTATTACAGATGGACCTTGTTCTTAAGAGGAAGGAACATGTTATTGTATGATGTTTGAGGGATGCATAGACCTTGAAAATATGAAAATGACCCCTGAACTATTGAAGATGATGCAGGGATCAGTATCAATCTACATGAGACCTGTTCTGCAAATAGATCACACTATACAAATCCTTTCTCTTAGATACAGAATGTACAGCCCTTGAGCCCAAAACAGCCTTTAAGGCTCAGAACTTCCAAGTATTGCCAGTTGCTCTACGAATGCAATTGTCTGTGAAGCAATGTTGAGCCTTCTTTGCTCTTGTTCCTTTCAACTTCTTTGCCTTTTTTCTGTAATCTGCTTCTTGGCTTCCAACCTCTCACTAACACATCTTGATTTGCATTATGGATCACAGGACACTGACCAAAAGCTCATGTACAACAAGCCAAAAGCATCATTTTTTTGGCTAGGGTTCCAGAATGTTACTGGATTTGTTTTTACTCAAGCTCATTCAGATTCAAAGTGGGAAAGCACCCTAATCCCTGGAAGAACTTTAGTTATAAATAATGGCTGATTTTCTCCTTGATCTCTGTTCCTACATTTGTACAGCTAGAACCAGATAGTTACATATTTATTTAGAACAGTATACCTCAACTGTGCAAATGTTCTTCAAGAAGGTATTAACTTGGAAGTTGTAATCCTGAGAATGAGTAATTATTTATTTCAAGATGTAAAGTTATCAGTGACTTCTAAGATTTTCGTAAGGAGGGAAGATCGACTGACTCCGCTTTGATTTTTCTGTGTTAGCTATGCACTGCAAGAGCTGTTTGGCTGTTTACCAGAAAGGGAGAGGGCAGGAGAATGGATTTCTCTTCAGGATACTGCAGTGCCTTTTCAGAATTGCTGAATAGGCACTTAGCAGTATTCATATTTCAAATGCAAGAATTTGCATCTTGCTGACAGATTTTTAATGCTCAGTAATCACAAAGAAAAGCTAGATGAAATGCCAGATGGGTCAAAACCAGCATTGTTAATATAAACCAATAAAAAAATTAACGATCATGTTTCTGTTTCATATACTGTACATGTATGAATTTCCAAGTAACTACGATGAAAACATTTGGAGGAGTACAGTTGGAGCAAGACTCAATTCTTGTTTCAGAGTATTTTTCCTTGAATTATTCAGTCAATTTCAGACATTTTGGTCAAATCACAGTTGTTCCTCCAGCTAAATTCTGAAAGTAATTGTGTTGTTATTCACATTCTCCCATACATAAAATGGCAGCTCACTGGGGAGAGGAAAACAACCAATTTCTTGCATCTATTGAGACGAGTAATTTGTGTTGCTCGGTCATACTAATGTTCAGTGTTCCTTCTTATTCTAAAGCTGACCTCCTACATCTGTCCTCAAATCCACTCCATGCAAGGCTTTGGCTGTGCTGTTCTTGCTTACACCAGGGGAGAAGACTGATGTCAGTCCCAGGTTTCTTTGGAAATTTCCCCAGCTGTGTTGCTTCTTGAATCTTGAAATTACCTTGAGAGAAATGAATGACAAAGTCTCTGTGGATTCTTTCCTTTATGAGTTCCCAGCACTCTCTTTAAGTTCCTGCAAAGGATTCTAAGTTTCCATTTTGGGTAAAAATTTATTTCTTGGCATTCTGAAGCAGAAGATGAAAACTATGAGGATAATAAAGTTTCTAGGAGACAAAGCACCAGTGGAAAAACTGGAGATAGTGATATTGTGTGGTCCTGAGCAAGGAGGTCACCCACTGCCTCAGGGAAAGTAGAGATTCCTTAGACTCGCCTTTTTCTCTGGATGCTCTCCACACATCATGAAGCTACAATTTAAGGATGATTAAGAATGATGGGTAATAATATAGCAATCGTCCCAAGTAATCATCTAGTTGTGAAGAAAGAAGATATTTTTCTGCTGGCTTTAACTTCAGTGAAATTTACATTGTGAAAAATTTACATTGAGAAATGTAAATAACCCCGAATTGTAATTTCCAGTTACCATGTGTAAATGTGTGTTCTATGACTCCTTGCCTCAGTTTTTAAAATGCTAGCATGACATTGTGAACACTGTGCTTTGCTTAGGTCAAGGATGGTCAGCTTTTGGTTTCCAGAGGCCACACTTATTAAAACATTGTTTGGAAAGAATTAAGGCCATAGTGGGTTGGATAATGAGGCAAATTCAGCAAGCCAAGATATCCTGTTGTCTGAGTTTAATTTCATTAAAATGAGTTAAGCCTACTTTAGGATTCACAGCACAGTTTGGGAGTAATTTTTGCCTTACAGTGGTGGGAACCATTTTGGTTTGTGGGGGCCACAAAGCTTTTAGCCTTAAGTTGACCACCTTGGCTTAGGAAAATCAAAATTACCGTAAAGGTGCTTCAGCATGTTTTCTTCTAACTTATAGAACATGAACAATGTTCTCTTCCCTGGTCCCTAAATCATGCTGAACTACTGAACAAGTCAACAGTTAAAACTATAAGTCACTGTTAAGTCACAGTTTATGGGCTAAGTGAAAGAGAATACTCTTTTTCTTCTTTTTGTCTGCCACCCCATGTGTTTGCCATTAGCTCTCTGGAATATGAGACCCATCCTTTTTTGTGCCCCACCCTACTAAGAAGCTTCTCCCGCCACACTGAAGCTTCTTCCATAGCATGGGGAAACACTCCTTGGCCTACAGTGTAGGAGAGACACACAGACAAAGCATGGCGGTCCATGGATGGGGGCAAATGATAATACATGATTGATGACATCTTCTCACAAATACTCCAACTTATGAATTTGTGTCAGATCTCATGACACAAGTCTATAGTCACAGCATTATTATGATCGTTTTGATGCCATCGCTGTTATGGTAGTCACTGTACAAAATCAAAAGAGAAAACTTGCACAACTAAGTATAAGCAAATCTATCAGTTTCATTTCCTCTCGGTTACTTCTTATGAATCTGTCAATTTCAGTTTGTCTCAGTTCCTTATTATTACAAATATATGAATTTCTGTTTGTTGAATTTAAGATTTTTTTTTAAGTCTACACAAAGATGTTTGTCTCCAAACATATGCTCTTTTTTCCTGTCATAGTTTTTGCATTTTCTTTGATTTTACTGTATATCTTTTTCTTCAAATTGTATCTTTTAGCATGTTTTGGCTATTGGGCAGTTTAAACGTTTTAATAAATAAATTAAATAAATAAGTAGAAGCACAGCATATTACAGTGAAAGCTCAGGAGATTTTAGACAAGACTTGGTAAGGCCTACATATGGCCTCTTGACATGTGCCTTGTGGGTGGAAGAACTGACAGTTAGATATGCAAATGGGCATTTAGTCTGCCAGGAAATAAAGGTGGAGCCTCAGCTGTGTGAGCCCAGGCATGCCACATGCCAGCTAGGCAGCTCACTATACTTCATAATTTTCTGCAAGAAATTATACTGATGGATTAGGCTCAAGTAGGAAAGAGTTAAATTGTTGTATTTTAAAAACAAATCACCCCTAACAGGTCTACATGTGAAGTCTGATGCAAAAACTCTCCTGATGGGTATCAGGATGAAGAGAAATGGCAATCTTATGTGGAAATGTGTAAAATCAAAAAGAAGCCAGATATTCTATCTAGCGATAAAATACTAACAAGAAAGTAATTTCTGAGCAATCAGGGAAATACTAACATTATAGCATAGGATTTAAAAAATTAAGAGAAAGGATTTTTCTCTTGATTCTCACATCTCCTTCTGTTTAATGGAATCTCTTCCCTCTGCAAATAAGCAGAGCAGGTCAAATATAAAGCTTAAAGCTTAAAAAAAAAACCCATTTGTTTCTTTACACAGTCCCAGGCTTGGAAGAAACTTCAGAAGAAACCTAGTACAATCTTCAGCAGAGCAAGAAGTCTATTGCAACAGAAACTCTGACAGAAAGAGCCAGTCTCTGCTGAAAAATATCTTACAACTTCCACTTCCCATCAGGAAGATCTTCATGATTTTTAGCCTACTGGTTTGTATCTTACCCTGCAGAACAATAATTCTTCTATCATCTATCTCCCAGACTTCCAAACACTTGAATATAGTTATCACCTCTTAATCATATTTTCTCTAGGATAAACATACACACCTCTTTCAAATGTTCCTCCTAAGCTTTGATCTCTAAGCCTTTATCATTGTTGTTGCCCTCATGTAGACATGCTCTTCATCAAACATGACATATCCTGGAGTATTCTGAATCTGCAAGCTATGTCACCTCAGTTTAAACCAGGTGAATAGAATACTTCCTCATCCCTCAAATCTTAGCGTTCTTAAAGGAAGCATATTGACTCAGATCTTGCATTTTGATGGTTATATCGATAAGGCTTCAGCAAGAACATTTCTGGGGGACTGCACCCCATATCTTTTAGGTATCAGTTGATTGCCTGCCCTGAGTCTTAAGCCAGTATACACTATAAGTCTACATAGATGAACAAAATGCCATACAGTGAGGATTCACTAACCTTCAGCCTGTTGGGAGCCTAATTCATTCTCAGATTAATTATGTGCTTCCTTATTGCATGACTCAGGGCGGTCTTGCTTCATGCTGCACATTTTTGTTCCTTCTGGTGCATATTCATTCTTTATCTCTTGAATTTCTCCAACTGAAGTCTTCGATTCCCCATGTGCAAGGCAGGCTGTGCCATTCCCTTCTGTCCCAAGAACTACCTGCTTCTTGAGGCTTCCAATTTGGATTTCTCCTGTTGGTCTCATTATTGACAATTCCTGGACTCCACTACCTGTTTCCATCACGCTTGGCAGCTTGTTAAAGTTGTCAGCACAATCCTCCTCAGAGGGCCTTTCAGAATATGTGTTTTTATCTAAGCAGTTTTCATGGATTTCTTGAATCACATCTCTAAAAGCCTTCACTCTGGATATTTCCTGGCAGCTATTCTTATAGGTAGTCTTGGGAGACAAATCAGGCCCGGACATTGCCTTACTGAGTTTGAAATTTACCTCAGTCTCATCTCTGCTGACATCCTGGATAAGGCTCGTTCTGGTTTTTTCATTTGGGCCTTGGGCTTCCCTTGAAGATGGATCCACTTGACCTCTTTTGGCCTGTGGCATGGAAATATTAGACTCTTTTAGCTTTATATAATTCTCTAATGCAGTTAGGGAATGATGCTCCTTCCCTGCTTCACCAACCAGAGTTTGATTCTTTTGTTCTTCCACTCTAATTGATCGCTAAAATGGCAGGACAAAAAATAAACAACTTGAATTAAGTCATATTGTTTTGTTCATTTAAAGAAACAAGTGACCCACCCAAAGCTATTAGTGTCAGCTGTAATGATCTACCAGAAGTGAGGAAGTTCACCTTTATTACTGATGTGAAAAACTCAAGTACAGCAACTGGATTTCATTGTATCGAAGTGTAGGTGATGATCAAAGTCATATTGAAACCCCTTATTCTTCAACACAGTGTGCTAAATAATTTATTTAGGAAATTTATTTATTTAGATTTTAAAAATTTATTTATAAATAAATAAATATAGCTGCCCATCTTAAGCAATAACTGGATGGTGAACAATACCTACAATAACAATAGTGATTGTATATCCATAGCAACTTACCTCAAAGTGCACATGCAGAATTAACTAACACAGGTTAATCATGTTTTTACATCAGCTGCAATTACTGGCAGCATTCCATAGCACTGGGGCAGAGTAAAGACACTGGTCTCCTATAACCTCACCTCACCGGTTACAACAGATGTGGCCATGTTATTTGGAAAGGATGATGGTATTATTTGTACTACATCAGCTACCTGCCACTTTTTCTGATCCACTGGGGCAGGTAGCTGCAGTAGCTCATTTCCCTAGCTTGCCATCATCTCCCCGACTTCAAAGATGACTGCTGACATGCCAAACAGACCTGGCAATAGGTACCCATGTTTAATGATATCCTGACTTGATTGCTGTACCGTACTCTACATGGAGCTATCCTCGAGGGGAGTCCAGAAATGTTAATTTTTTGCAAAAGACAACAGCTAGGTTGCTAACTGAAGTATGAATTCAGATGCATATTACACACACTTTGAAGACCTATCTACCCTGCTTTCCAGGCCCAATTTTAGGTGTTGTTTTTTATTTTTAAAACAGTTTGGAACCTAACTGCCTAAGAGATTGCCTATCTTGGCACATTAAAGTCCAGATGTTAAGGTCAGCAGGAATCCTAAAAATGTCTCAGTTTTTCAGGCTTAGAGAGACAGATGCTTCTGCTGTATTGCTCTCAAACTCTGAAATTCCTTGGGGACTTGTCACTTTTACCAGAGTTTTTCAGGTTAATATAATATATATGTTTTTATCCATTTTAATCATTTATAATACATGTTTTTATCCATTTTTACTTACTAATATTTTATTATTACCTGCCTTGTGTGCCTTTGGCTAGAAAAGCAGATGTAAACTGAATTAATAACAGCAGCAGCAGAAACAACCATTTTGCAATTCCTTTTCTTAATAGTATTATTAAATACTATTTAATAGTAGTATTTACAATGATAAAAAACTAATACAAACTAAAACAATAAAAGAAAAAATAGAAAAAATAGAAAGTACAGAAGAAAATAGAAAAAAATAGAAAAGAAAAAAAAGAATATAGTAAAGAAAAAGAAAAGAAATATATGAAGAAATGACTTCCTCCTTCATCCCAACAAGTATAAACATTTGTGCTCTCTGAGCTTGGTTGTTTGATCGCAGATGTTTCATTACCCGACTAGATAACATCATCAGTGCGAGTGTGGGGTTTGCTCCCTGTTTACATACAGTAGCTTGCCCTGCCAGGGTTAGTGGGGGTGTGGTTTTCTCCTTGATTATTGTTTTCTGCTTGATTGTTTGCCTGCTTGATTGTTTGTCTCCTTGGTAGTTCCTTGATTCTGCTTGTTTGTCTGGTGTTAATCCCTGATTAATGGTGTTAATCCCTGGTGTTAATGGTTAATGGTGTTAATCCCTGATTAACTGGGTGTAGGCTGCAGAAGAGGATGTGTCTGGTCTTTTTGTTTCCTTCTTAGCTTTCTTATTGCCTCTTTTGAAAGGTGTGTAAATGTGGTTTATCTCTATGTGTCTATTGATGACTGATTTGTCTGAATGCCAAGTTTCCAGGGATTCCCTAGCGTTTTTGGGTTTGACTTGATCTAGGATGCTCACAGTTTCCCAATTGAAACTATGGTTGAGTGTTGTGAGATTAAGGAATTTTCATTGTGTCTTCTGAGTGCTAGTTGGTGTTCATGGATGTGCTCTGCTAGTCTTCTGCCTGTCTGTCCTACATAGTGGCTGTTACAGTCCTTATACTGTATATTGTAGATGATTCCTGTTTTTTCTTCTTGGGCTGCTGGGTCTTTTGGTTTACTTAAGATGTTTTGGATGTAGCTGGTTTGTGTGCTATGATAATGCCATGTGGTTGTAATAATCTGTTGGTTGTTTCTGAGATGTTTCTGATGTAAGGTGGTATAACAATTGAATGGAGCCTGGGAAAGGAGGAGGTAAACTCTTTTTCCAGCATTATTTTCCTAGTTAAAATCCCAAGGAAAGGCAAAGGGAAAGATCCAGAAAACAAACAATCAGAAAAAATAATGAAAAAAAAAACTGCCAAAAGAAAGCATTTTGCCACCAGCAACTATTTAGCATTATGTGTGAACAGAAACATCTTTTTCTAAATCATTGTCTAGCCTGTGCAAATATCTTTACCACTGAGAGTTGCTAGATTGTGCTGGATATAATTTTAATAAATAAATAAACATCATGGCTGGCCCTATCATTAGGCAAAACAAAGCAGAGGCTGGGAGAATGGATGAGATCTCCTTCACTAGGTTTGCTAGGTTCAGACAAGATGCTAAGTTTAAACAAATTATACTATGGCTTTAATATGTTGTGTGGTCTTCTCTCAAGGAGCAACTGTCTGGAGCACTTGTGGGTGATCTCAAGTCCTCTTCTTGTCCGGAGAGGAATTACAAAGAGCGGATCTACTTGCTGGCTCTTCATTCTGCCAGAGTCTTCAGTCCACCACCCCAGAAGAAATGTTTATACTTTGCTAACATATCTGCATGTGTGTTTGGAAATATTTTTTATAATTTAAAATGAAATGCAATTCATCCTAACTTAGGAATAAGATCAGGACCAAGTAACCTTGTGAAGGCTGATTCTGTCAGAATGCTGGTGACCAAAACCTCAAAGCTCCAGCAACTGTCTTTTATCCTGAATTTTGCCTGGGAAGCCCTTAAAATAAGTTATCCTGTCTGGATTCATACTGCACTAAAATTCAGTATCTTGGGTTCATAACCTGTTGGTTTCATCATGTTATGTATGAACCCAGCTACTCCAGTTTATTCAATACACTATGGCTCAGAACAAGCCATGGCTTAATTCAGTGTATGAACTGAGTCCAGGGACTATATTATTTTGTCTCCTTTCATATATCTGGGCAAATATTTCATAAACTCACCTGATTATCGAGTTCATCTTTTAAAAAGGACATCTCATCACCTTCTTTAACATCCCATCTGTAAAAGAGCAGAAAAAAATAGGGGAAACTGTCCAGTTATCACAAAGTAAAACAGGAACTCTGATCCTTGTTGGAAAGTAGTTTTTTTGCTTATCCTAACTGGAGACTGCTTCAGGAGCGTCAGCCTTTTTTCCCTAAGTGGGGGAAAAAAAAGTTCATTCTAGCATAGCTGAAGCCTTGCAATTTGGCTCTTTTTACACGTCAGAGGGCCATCCATTCATTTGTATAAAGTTATAGCTTGCCTTCACTTTACTGAATCCATGACTGATAAGAAGGCAAAATAACAGGGAAGAAACACTGTGGTACGTTGTTATTGTAGGGGAATAATGACAAATTTATTTAATTAGGTAAAACTGCTTATTCCTATTTATAAACATGAACCTGTACTGTATAGACCAGTGATTGCGAATCTTTTGGGCTCGGCATGTCAAAAATTCGGAAAAATGCCTAACTTGACTCTGCTGGCATGGCACCTTCCCCACCGAACAAAACAGAAACAATTCTTTAAATATTCATTTATTTTTTAAAAAATACAGTCAAATCATGTGTGGTGCTATGTATTATATAAAGAAATGAAAAATAATTACAAAAATGAAATACGAGTAAAACAAACTCAGTTTCTTTGGTAACTCAAATAGGGAGAATAGTTGCCGGGTGCTGGTGAATGCTAGTGTGTCACCCAAAACATCGTGGCGTGTCACCTTTGACACACGTCATAGGTTCGCCATCACTGGTATAGACTATCCAAAAAATATATATATATTTTTTACCAACTACTGGAAAAGTGATCAGCTAAATTGCTTTTAACGTTTGGATCAAACTGACTGAATTACAAACTCCTTTACACAAATACCATATAGTTGGAGATATGTATGTATGTATGTATGTATGTATGTATGTATGTATGTATATACACACACACACACAGCTGGATAGCGTAGTGGTTAGAGCACCGCCTTTGATGCAGGAGACCGAGTTCAAATCCCGGCTAATATCTACCTTACCAGTAGGGGTCCTTGGGCAAAGACCCCCTAATGCTTCATCTGCCTACCTCAATATGAGAGTGAGATGAACTAAGAGTCATGCCGGCTCGGACGTCACCCGGATTAACAAGGTCCACATCAGATGTTGGGGAACCAGGACAATCTGATGATAAGTGGGCTACTGG